CTTTCCATTTACACCTTAGGCTACACTCACACAGAGAGACACACACATGCGCGGGGCCACTCCAGCATTAAACTTACAATTAAAGTCTCGACAACGGAAACCATTCTGAGAAATACAGTTCATTTTCCCGAGCATTCGGAGAAACAGAGCCGGCCAAAAAAATGTTGGTACTTCTAAGAATGTAGGTCCCGTCTGTTTAGACTTGGCATACACACTCAGAGCACTGGATCGATACTGGTTGAATTATTGGGTATCAATGTTTTATTAGTTAGTAGATCTAGCCTACAAAATGAGCAGTGAAACTTCACTTTTTTAACAAGGCAAGGGGGGTTTCAGGTTGATGTTTTGCAATTAGGTTTGATAGTCTGTCTCTCCATGATCGCCATGTGCATCAAAAAGTAATAGTTTAGAACCAGAAGTGATTGTCAATGGGGTAAAGACTATATCTAGTATCCCCAAACGGGACTCACGTTCTGAAGTAGATCTAGATCTAGTACCAAAATGTTTTTAAGAAAAACTTTGTCAGGGGTCTCCTTTTCAGGCCAACTTTTAGAGGTTCCTTCACCCTTTGGTTTACTAGGCTATCTTAAGGGGTATTTCCTTGTTTTAGAAACTTGGGGGTAAAAAGTTCAATATCTCATAATTTTATAGTAAGATTTTTTGCTTGTACATAAACATTTAACTCGCACACACTTTCACGCAGACACACACAGAGTGACCATGACTGTGATTGAACGCTAACGATGTTTACTTCTCAAGAAATAAATGAGTAATTTGAATAGAATTAGAGTTGTGTCCATTTGGAGGGGGAAAGAGTGGTGGTGGTTGAGCAGTTGGGTCTATCAAAAATAAAATAAAGTTGACAAACGAAAAGGGATCCATTCCGACTGTAATACACCAAGAAAAATAGACCTGCCACTCTACGAAATCCAAAAGTCAGGATCTCAGTGGGGGGAAAAATTGGGACTTGGTGAAAAAAATCTGGATCAACGACAAATCACAATTAGGTCACTGTCAAGCTGACTTTAAAAATTTCCAGGGGTGTCCATTATTATATCCATGTATATATTCTCTCTGTGTGCGCGCGCGTGCGGTGTATGTGTGTGTGTGCGCGCGCGTGTGTGTGTGTGTGTGTGTGTGTCCGCGCATGCGCGTGCCTGTTTGTGTTTAATCATTATTATTTGTTAAATCCTGAAATATCACGTCAAGCTCTCCTAGTCCATGTGTACTATCCCCCGGATAAGTCCTGAAAGATGCTACAACACCTGCGCATGAACTTAAATTGACCCCGTCAACGGACGGTCCCCGACACACGCGGAACTCACTCGACAACGTCATGTCACGTGGTGCAAACGCGCGATTGAAACAGTTTTACTGAAGGGTCTTGATGACGGGCCCGACTAACCAGGACGCGGACAAAGCATGTTTTGGCGAAAGTAGATCTTGAGAAGGTCTTAAGCCGGAATGCCAAATCAATACTACAGTGGAGTCCACTTATAACGAGTCCGGAAAAAACGAGAAGTCTGTTATAAAGACACTTCTGAAACCCCGTTTTTTTTCTCTTCTTTACCTTTGTAAATAAAATACTGCTATAGCGCAATCAGACTAACGTGCGAGTCGGTTATAGCAGAATATTGCTGCTGCTGTGCACAGTGCATAGGCCAATTATACATTATGTAAAACCTCGCCAGTTGAGAAACTTGTTGGTGATCTAGCGAAACAAAGAATGGGAGAGCCAATGTGTGTCAACAATGAAGGCCGGAGCGACTGAGTAGGGAGGGTGTGGCATGCACAGACAATCAGAACGCGTCGTATGATAGGCCAGTGTGTAAGCGTAGTTTAGATTATCAAGGCCTACCATGCCTCTCACTTCTCCGATGCGGGGATGGAGAGGTCACAGCAATGTGATGGGTGGAGCGAATGAGTGACGTGCACAAGCTGACGGAATGTACCACAGGGTGTGGTGGGAAACACAGCGGGCGAGTTAACCGAGAGCCCTTTCTTTCTGATCACCAACGCCGAGCTGTCAGTCAACATCGCTAGATCTAGCGCTAGAGAAAGAAAATTGATTCGATTTTTGATCAAGGTCATGTTGAAACCAAATCATCATCAGGGGAGATATCAAAAGGAAATAAACAGAAGCGCAAAGCCATAGATTTGACCTGATTTACAGTTTCCCTTGAATTTATTACTGGATCCCTTATAGCGAGAATCCTGCTATAAAGGACATTTTGCTCCGGTCCCCTCCCTCTCGTTATAACAGGATTCCACTGTACTTCCATTATAGATCTAGTTGAAATAACACGGTTAGTCAACTACTAAATTCGACAAAGAGATTTCGGAAAACTGTGCTCCGAGTTTCTGCTGGCAAAAAGTTTAAAAAGTGCTTCCCTCGACAGAAAAGAAGACAGAGTAAGATTTTAGAAAAATCCGGGGCAACAGGTGGAACCAAAAAAAAAATGTTTTTAAATCGGGGTACACGCGATCAAAATCGGGTAAATCGGGATGCTTGAGATTTAAGGCAGAGATGAGCGGCAGGTTTAGAAAATAACCGGATTCATTATTCTTCAGAGCCATCCCAGGGTTCACATTCCAGTCTTTCCATACATTCGATGGCGGACAATTCATGTTTACTAGTGTGTTAGAAATATAATAGATCAATCAACCAAGTCTATTTTCCTAATCTTTTCAGACTCTCTCTCTTGTCTGAAATCCTTAGAGCGCTCTGACACCTCCGACAACAGAATTTTAAAACTTATAATTAAACTGCATTTTCTACATCAGTCTGGAAAAACTATTACAATAGCTTGGCTTCCAAGCCATGTAGGCAATGATGGCAATGAAGCCGTTGACCAATTTGCCAAAGAATCTCTAAAACTACCTGAAAACAAAAATAGTAAAATCCCTTGCTCTGACATGAAACCAAAAATAAAAGAACACATCACATCCTTCTGGTACCAAATTTGGAATCAACAAATACACAACAAATTCCGTTACATTCAAACGAAACTTGCGCCCAGGATACCACTGTCTCTCCTACGAAGAGAAAAAGTAATTTTTACCTGATTAAAGATAGGACACACGCACGTCACGCACAAACATTTACTCGAAGGAGAGGAAGCTCCTTTTTGCGTGGCGTGCAACACAGTGTCGAATTTAATTATGTGCATGAGAAGTCTTTTAAATGTAAAGATATCAAACCCTTTTTAACATTGTAGCCCCTAGAAAAATTTTAAGTTATGTAAAAGAAATAGGACTATTTAATGGAATATAAAAATATATAGTTATCATTATCGGTGTATATATATATACATACACTGAAATTAATATTGTATATACAAATGTAGGTAAGTCTTTACCATATTTACACAAATTTTTATAAATGTCTGTCCGTCATTTTAGCATAATGAGAATAGTGTGACCGTGTGCGGTTGCGAGCTCCGAAAGACTCTTACTAAAACACGTCTGATTTTGTTGCGGTGAAACCTGTTGGCGCTTTAATGACCAAAATTGTGTCGATAGTGCCGTAAAACATCTATTCAATCAATCAATCACGTTTTTACACTCTGTGTGGCAACAAATGATATTCTGGATGCTTAAAACAGAGCAGAAGAAATTCTGGTGCTTAAGATTATGTTACCTCTATCATCATGCTATATGTTACCTTTATCTTTGAAAGCTTGAACTTTTATGGCAACTTTTGGACAAAAAAATGGCAACAGACGCAGATGCTAGGCATAACATCATTGATTTTTTCCCCCTTCTTTCTTTCACAGAAAATGGTTACGTCTTGTGCTGCCCTTGGGTGTACAAATTGCCAGACAACACAATCCCAGGTCTTGTCTGAGCATCGTGTTAGAGATCTGACGTTTCACCGGTTCCCCATGAAAAATGATGGACTTCTGGCGAAATGGGTTGAAGCAGTCCGACGAGACAAATTCACCCCAACAAGCGCACACAGGCTCTGCAGCCGGCACTTCCGTGAATCAGACTTCATCGAAGGTGACCGCAGGAGAGTCTTGAAACGTGATGCGGTGCCCTCAATTTTTGATTTCTCCCAGCACCTGGTGAGCTTGTTTAAAACTTGATTCTTCTCAATGAATTGTACAGTTCCTTTTGTTAATTAATTTATGCAGCTCTGCAGGCTGTTTTCGAAGGAATTGCTATCTACTGACAACAAAAAATGTTTTTTTGTTTTATGTTGGAGTTAATATTTAGAATTTTGTCTCTTCTGGCATTTTTTTTTCGTCTTTGCTCAAGAAAGTTATAAAATCAGTAAACAGTTGTGCAATCCTACCTGCTTGAGGACCTGGTTTTCCTTTCCTGATTCCTGTACGGTCAGGGAAGTGTCATACCTCTTAGCGGGAGAACCTCATTCGCTTCTTTCTTCTGTGTATAGTAATATAATAGATGTTTCGGTGTCCTAATTTGTGTTTTTTGACTCGATATCAGTAGGTCATCATCATCTTCACAACCTTTCTCACCCTACATCAAGGTATAGGCCACGAATACTTTCAACTTTCCCTGTCCTGGGTTAGCCTCTTGATATTTCGTGTCTACTGATCTGATACAACAAGACCTTCCAACCTTCTCATTCGATGTGAATTTTAATTCTATTGTCATGTATATATGTATATGTATATTTGTAATTTTGTTTTACCACCCAAAATTTGATCTTCGAGTGGCTTGGGGATGCTACTTGTACCAGTAGGTCATCCTCCCCTTCTCTGTTGCTTTATTTCAATGGTAATGGCTATTTAGTGCTGTGTAGTCCCGGCACTGAGAAGAATAAGACTGACGTGGTGCTAGTGTATCGTATGAGGCGACTAATAAATGGCGAACCAGGTAGTGATTCCGAAACACAGTCATCCTCCCTCCAGGTCGGGGTTGAGTCACGAGGCTAACAACCTCTCTTGTAAAAAGAACCTGTTACAGAAACATATACAAGCAAAAACCGTTATTTCTGCTTGGCTGGTCGTTGATTTTCTCCGAATGAAGAGTCTATGATGCGAGGTAGTGAAAGCCGAGAGGAAGCTGCTGGGCAGAAGCCTCCACTATCATCCAAGTCCAAGTCTCTCTGGATTGGATCATGGAACGTTAAGGCCCTTTATGAGTCTGGAAAAACTGCACAGGTCCTCCAAGAAATGCCCCGATACCACCAACACATACTGGGAATCAGCGAGACCCACATGAACCAGTCTGGACAGAAGGGAATGAAAGAGGGGGAGCTTTTCATTTATTCAGGAAATGACAGTGATTGACCACACAGGGAAGGAGTAGGGAGCCAAAACAGCTCAAAAGACATTCAGGGGCTGGGAAGCACATGATCCAAGGATCATCATGGCCTCATTTGGAACAAAGAAAGAACTCAAAGAAAGAGATGGTAGGAAGAACGTCATACAAGTGTATGCCCCAACCAATGATGCAGAAGAGGAGAATAAAGATGACTTCTAAAACTGCCTGCAGAGTGTGATCGACAGACCTCCAGGTAAGGACATCAACATTGTCATGGGAGACCTAAATGCAAAGGTAGGTTCAGACAATAGTCACTGTGAGGAAATCATGGGCAGACATGTATTAGGAGAGGCAAATGACAACAGAGAAAGATTCCAGAACTTCTGCACATTCAACAACTTGGTTATTGGAGGAACAATCTTCCCTCATAGAAGGATTCATAAGGCCACTTGGGTCTCCCCGGATGTAACAACGGAAAACCAGATTGACCAATTTTGCATCTCCCGAAAGCTGAGACGCTCACTGGAGGATGCCCCGAGTCTTACGAGGAGCATACGTCACGTCAGACCACCATTTGATTCATGGAAAGATGAAACTGAAACTGAGAAGGTATGCACAAGTCACAACTGGAAGTCGCCAAAAGTATGAAGTGAGCCTTCGGAAAGACCCAGTAAAGAAGAATGAATTCAAGTTGGAACTGAAAAACAGATTTCAAGCCCTTCAAGTTCTGGATGAATATGAAGTAAACGAACCCTGGGACAAGATAAAAGAGGCAGTAAATTCAACTTGCCAGAGCACCTCAAAACCCCAAGTCAACACCAGGAATGAATAGATTTTACCTGACTCTCTAAACAAAGTCAAAAGAAGAAGAGAGCTGAAGGCCAAAGTCGACAACAGCCGTACCCGAACTGGGAAACTGGCTGCACAACAAGAGTCTTTCCATGAAAAAGGACAAGAATACCTACCTGAATGGCCTGGCCGAAAAGGCAGAGAAAGCAGCAACAGACGGGCACTTGAGGATTGTACATCAGACAACAAAAAGTCTTTCAGGTAGGTTCAGCAAGCCCACTCTACCAGTGAAAGACAGAGAGGGAAAGACTATCTTCAACCCAGAGGGGCAACTAAACCGATGGAGAGAGCACTTTGATCAACTCTTGAACAGACCACCTCCAGAATACCAACCAGAAATTCTTCCAGCCAGAAGTGACCTCCCAATAGTTACGGGACCACCTACGAGAGAAGAAATTGCAGCAGCTATAACATCACTGAAGTCCCACAGGGCAGCTGGTCCCGACCATATACCACCGGAAACCTTTAAGGCAGATAAAGATATATCTGTAGAAATTCTGTATGCTCTATTCGAAAAGATCTGGTAAGAGGAGGAAATACCATCAGACTGGAAGGAAGCCCACCTAATCAAGGTGCCAAAGACTACAGAGGCATAAGTTATAACACTCATGTCCATACCTGGGAAAGTCTTTAACAGGATACTCTTGGAGAGAATCAAGCTGGCAACAGATGAGAAGCTCTGAGGAAACCTGGCAGGATTCTGCAAGAACCGATCATGTGTGGACCAAACCGCTACTCTGCGCATCATTGTTGAGCAATCGCTTGAATGGAATTCACCACTCGTGGTCCACTTCATTGATTATGAAAAGGCATTTGACAGCGTGAACAGGGAAACTCTGTGGAAACTCATGCGGCATTATGGAATACCTGACAAAATCGTCAAGCTTCTGAAGGCCACCTTTGATGGAGCGAACTGCCTAGTCTTCCCCGAAGGAAAACTCTGAGAACCGTTCCAGATACAGACGGGAGTGTGATAAGGATGCTTGCTCTCACCTTTTCTATTCATACTGGCAATTGACTGGGTCATGAAAGAAGCAACCAGAGGCAAACACAATGGAATACAGCTTATCCCTTGGCAGTAGCTGGACAACGTGGACTTCGCCGATGACCTTGCACTGCTCTCACACACATGCTCAGATGCAAGAAAAGACCAAGGAGCCCAAAAGCCTGTCAAGGAGTGTTGGCCTACGTATACATCCGGGCAAGTCGAAAGTAGTGAAGCTAGGAAAAGTTTCAATCCCTGCTGTGACGGTGAAAGACACTCCCCTGGAAGAAATGGACTCCTGTACCTAGCTTGGAAGTGTCATTGATGGTAAATTTGGAACTGAAGCAGATGCATAAGCAAGAACCGCCAAGGCAAGGTCAGCATTCAATCAATTATCAAATGTCTGGAAAGCAAGCAACATCTCACTACGCACTAGTACGCACCAAGATTCGACTCTTTAATTCCAGTGTCAAGTCTGTGCCCCTCTACGGCTGCGAAACTTGGAAGATAGCAAAGACAGTGCTGAATAAAGTCCAGACTTTCATCAACAGATGTATGAGGAGTATCTTAAGAATTAAATGGCAGGATAGAATAAGAAATGAAGAGCTGTGTGAAAAGAGAGGACAGAAGGACATAAAAGTAGAAATAGGACTAAGAAAGTGGCGATGGATGGGACACACCTTCAGAAAGCCCAGTGGAAACATCACAAGACAGTCCCTGCAGTTGAACCCACTGGGAGCACAAGGCTGGGGTAGGCCACGGGAAACATGGAGGAGATGTGTGGAAAGGGACATGAGAGAGATGAGACGCAGTTATAGTACTGTTTCCATGGACTAACTTTGCCACAGCCCCTGGGGTTTTTTTAGTTCAGAGGGGGTTTTTTTTCGCGTTATTATCGCAGCATATGCAGTGTAGGTACTGCTTTTAGAAACTACAACTACTGAAAGAGTAGGAAAAAGGTAGAAAGGCACTTCCTTATGCTTTGAGTGCCGATGTACGTAGGACAATGTTTCCATACTTTATCACTCGAAGGACAGTCACTGGCGGCAACAAACTCAACTGTAACAGTTGAACAGACTGTTGCCATAGCTGGTCCTTTTTATTTTTATGTTCTCTATGGGTATGTGCCACAAACAATACGAAACAAACATTTTTGTTGCATACAATTCACGTTTCATTTGTTTTCCTGGGTCCTAAATGGAGGTCCAACCATGGTTCTTGCAGCATTTTCCTGGCCTATCTTTTGTTCTTTTTTAAAAATAAGATGAAAGAAGGAAATCACATTCTGTTTTTTGTTTTTACAATATTTATTTTGTCCATTATAGCTGTGCAAAGTTTGGTGACTTTATGTCAGTTAGTTTTGTCACAGTAATCGTTTGGAGAACACATTGAAATAGGTACACAGGTTACAAGACAACTATGGCGGTAGCCAGTGGATTAAACCCGATGAACAACTGAACAAAGCATCTCGTCTTCTTTTCCCAGATGGTTGTCAATCATGATACACCGGTCTCGCCCTTGAACAGAGGTAGAGGATGTCGAAGTGGCCGCAAGACCGTGAGCAAGACAGACATCTCCCAGATTTTTTCAGAGGCTGTGGCCAGAGTGGAAGAAGTCCGTAGGGCAGCTGAGACTTCTGTCTGTACTGGTAAGGGCAGAGCAGGGCAAAAACAACTGCTCGGGGAGTTTTTCTGTTGTGTCTAAGTGCCCTTTTTTTATGTATCAGTTTTATGCTGTTCTTTGTCTCTATCTTTTGCTCTTACACCTTTTTTTTTCATTTTTACTTACACTCTTTCTTCCATCCCTATCTTTCTACCCATTTCTGTCTCTGTCTTGTCTTCCCACCCTCCCTCATTCATTCCAGCTATTATCCTCCTCTTTTTTCCTAGTGGTTTGAAAAAGATGTACTAAGATACCGGATATATAGAATATAAGTCTACACTTTGTATGCTTATCTTTTCTATGAGTGTGGAGTCCAGTACTGTATATAGTATAACCTGGATAGGTCAAACTCAGGTTACTCGAAGTCACGCATCCGTCGAACTGTGCCTGCGGTCCCTTTGTTTTTCTTCTTCTTTATCTGTGTAAGAAAATTATGTGCTGCTCAAACACAAACACGGAATAGTCGAACTAATTACACCGCTGTCGAGGTCTGAAGTCAATGTCCTTTGAAGTTCACTTGAGACAAAATAATAATGATGATAATAATAATAAAACTGGAAAAAGGCAAGGTCGGTAAAATGAGCCCCTTTCCACAGAAGCATCTAGCTGTGGTATTTTTAGCACACTGCTCGACACGCGTGCCCTCTGCGCGTGCCTAGGTCCTAGGTCTAGCTGGGCTTGTGTGTAGCGGGCAAGAGGAAGGATTGTGCCTCACAAGATCGGCCGCCCCACCCATCTTTGTAAAGGACTGCGCGCTTGGTGGAAGAGGCGGGGTAGGGCTGCATTGTTTGGTCATTGTGTTGTTTATTAATATTGCGATATGCATATCTTGTCAAATTGTTTATGTTTTGAAAAATTTGAAAAGGCACCGTTCGATTGGTGCGGACTAAAGACCGCTTACACTGACCCACGCAATTCAACTGTCTTGGTACTGGTAGGTTTATTACCGATCGAACTCAAAAGGATTGCTCATCGTGTTTCTCATTCTCAATCTGTCAATTTCAGATTCTCTCAAATTTCAAATTCATGTCAATAGAGTTAGATCTCACCTGTCTGATCTAGGACAATGGCCGAAAAAAGAAAAATCTCTGTCCCAACCCAACCTGTGTTGCTTCCCTTGATTCTCTGACACAGCCGATGCCATTTATAACACTGTTCACGTATTCCTCAGACTACAGACCCCTCGAACTACGGAGGCTGGTCCCTACGAATTCGAGTGATCCGTGTTATATTGTATTCTGTTTTTGTTAAATTGCTTACCTTGACAAAAATATAAAAGTACATAATGCTGACTGTAGCAGCGAATGATGCTGGTAATATAATGCCATTTGATGGGTTCTGCGGTGAATTATAAGGGTGTGAGGCTTATTATGTAAAGTCACTTGATAGGATGCATTCTGTTCCCCTGTCTCTCATTCTCATTATACATATTCTTCTGTATCCTTTCGTTATCCTCAGTTGGCGTACAGACTGATCCTGTTTACATTTTGCCAATGGAAGGTGAGTAAAATATCATTTTGACACGGTTTGTGAGTAGGTGCTCTGGTGTGGTCTTATTTCTTTTCAGTGTTACCACTGCTTGAGTTCAGAATCAGAAGACTTGTAGAAAGTTGAGGTTGTGGTATGCTGGCGGGTGCTCTGGTGTGGTTTGCTCCTTCTTTCCTATCAAACATCTATTGTCCTAATCTCTCGTCCTTCTTTATTTGAATATTTGTATGTTACCCTCTTGTAACATCTCTAATCTTTGGCACTGATATGACCTGTTTGAGTAGTAAGTGCCAAAAAAGTTTTACTAAAACAAACAAAACTTTATTACTGTGTAGGGGTAAAGATTTCCTTTGTTTGTTTTTTCCTAAATGTCTACCCTTTCAAGTTTTCTGGGTTCGTTTGTGTGTAGCTGTTTAGTATCAGGACAGATGCTACCCTCTGTGAAACTGCGAGATGGTAAATATACTGTTTTTTAAAAATTATTATGTAAGACTCAGTGGAGGCATGCTAGCCTAACAGATATAGACACAAATCAAGACAACTTCCAAGTTCCCACATGGGCCTGAAGGCCATATTTTTATTCCCCACGTTTCATGTTGTTGAACGCTTAGCTTTGCATGTAGTATAATCCACTTATATCGAAATCTGATTTATGGACATTTTGACATATCGACATATTTTCCAACTACGGAATTTTTCCTTTAATGTCTTCATCAAACAATTTCTCTCCTATCAATTTTTTTTTCGCCACACTCTGCTTTATCGACGTGCTCCCTGGGTACCTGGTGTGAAGTCCACAAGTATAAATGGGGGAAAAAGCCACGCTGACGGTCAACGTATTAGTTCTTCATTAAGTCCTCATACCCGCCAAGTAGCCTATATCGACACACCTGGCTTTAGTAGATCGTGTAGGGCCTACACTGAGCCTACACAGTGTAGTCTCCAACACAGTACAGTGCCTCAGAGACGTGAGGCTCTCGTGCGCTGGGCATCGCCTCCCTACACCCACTCCTGATCGCTCACTCCCCTTCCCCATCCCATTCTCAGTCTGTCGCTGGCAAGTGCCACAGTCAGTGAGTCAGTGCCCTGCCTTTCCATTTTCCCCAGCAATCGGCCATAATCAGCCTTTACAAGGGTGCTACAACAAAGTTTGCGGTGGTGTGTTGTGTGCGCCTCATGCCTCTCGTTACATTTCTGTAAATTACAGGTTTATTTTGCTTTTTCTTCCTCTAGACGCAGATTTGATGACATTTGGCACAGATAAAGGATTGTCTGCCCGCCTCACTCTGGACTCGGCACAGAGACCTCCAGGGAACAGCCCGGGTCTTGTGCGTCATCCCTGCAGGTTCTGCGGCGCTGCTTTCGTGAGCGAGTTACAGCTCAAGCTTCATCGGTGGATTCATCAGATGGCCCAGCCCGGATCTCAGAGGAGAAGGGCTGCTTCAATTTCTGAGATGAGACTGGCCACTCCCGGTTCTACGAAGAAGAATGAAGGAGCGAGCATGTCGAGAGTGCTGAAGGGTGTGAATAACGGGGCAGAGGGTTCTGCAGCAGACGCAGACCTTGGAGCGATGGAGATCACTGTGTTGTCTGACAGGAGAGTGATAACGCCGTGGCAAACTGGGCAGGAGAACGTGCCGGTAGTAGAACTTCCACGCGCTGTGAAACAGACAGGTACTCTAGGGATTAAGTCAGGGATTATTGTTGGGAAGAAAAGACCAGTTGGTAAGTTTCAGCGAAGTTTGCTGAAGGACAGGCTGCCAAGGGAGAGTGGTCAGGTGAGAAGTGACAGCGAAGACAATACGCCAAAGAAGTGCCCAGTGTGCGGGGAGATGTTTGTGAAGCCCGCGGCCCTGAGAATTCACCTGTCTGAGCACCTGTACTACGACATACATCGAGGCCAGGTGTTGATTCGTGGGGCCATCATGCCCAACACCAACGGAACCGGCCTGGGCGTCATGGAACAGACCTCGGCCGGTGAAGACCTTGCGGGTGAGCAAGAGGGACCCTTGCCGGACGGGCAGGCCAAATCAAACGGGCCGGTGCCATATAGCCACAGCGATGTGAAAGGTAGTGAGTTCAGCTACGTGTGTACTCTGTGTAATATTGGATTCATGCGTAAGAAACAGTTGTGTGTGCATCGACTCTCGGAGCACAGCAGCGTCAAGATGGCGTACAGGGACAAGACGCTGGTGCTCAAGTCGCCCTCGCCCATCAGACGTAAGTCCAACATGTGTGAGATCTGTGGGGAGGTGTTTAAGTCACTCTACTCCATGAAGATCCATGTGCTTTGCCACCATGACTTTTCTACTTCTCAGGCCCTCAGAGTTCACAAGAAACTGCACGAGCCGAAAGAAGCCCAGCCTTCTGAAAAGTCGAAAATGGAAAAGTTTGTCTGCGATGTCTGCGGCAAGACAGTTAGTTCAATGAAGCAGTTACGGTACCACCTGGCTCGTCATGCAGGTGGGGATACATTCACATGCCGAGTTTGCAAAGAGAAATTCTCCTCCTATAAGCTGTTGAAGGCCCACCAGGCTGAGCAGGGCCACGTGGCCGACAAGCCAATTATCTGTGAGGTGTGCGGCTCTGCTTTCTCTCGCATCTACGATCTCGAGAGACATCATTTCGTAGCTCATGTCAAGAACAAAGATAAGAAGCAAACAGTGAAGAAGAAAAGAGAGGAAGGAAGTTTCCCTTGCGAGTATTGCGGAAAAGTTTTTCGCTTCAGAGACAGACTGCAGTACCATGTGGGTGTGCATACAGGGGAAAAGTCCTATCAGTGCGAAATTTGCTACAAAACTTTTTGCTACCCGGGTTCTCTGTCTTTTCATAAACGGAAGCACAGGGAGACAAAGGTGAAAGAGAAGCCAAAAGTAAGAGTGACCTGTGAGTATTGCCATAAGGTTTTCTGCAGCAAGCATACACTGGCCAGTCACATCAAATACCACACCGGTGAAAATCTCCACACCTGTGAAATTTGCAACAAGTCTTTTGCGTACAAGGATTCATTCGTCTTGCACAAACGAAGCCATGCAGGCGAGCTGCCTCATGAATGCGACGTCTGTCACAAGCGATTTCTTCGCCATTTCAACTTAAGGTGTCACTACCGCATCCACACGGGCGAGAAACCATATCCTTGCCAGATCTGTGGCCAGAGGTTTCGGCGGCTCGGTGACCGCAACTCGCACCAGAAGCGTCACGCCACACAGGCCGCCGAGGCATCCAACAACGTGTCGAGCAACACAGCAGCGGTCCAGACGCAGGTGGAGGCCCAAGTCCCAGCCACAATTCAGATTCAAGTCCACACGCAGCAGGACAATGAGACGGCCGCTTCGGTCATTAGTATTCTTTGAGGTTACTTATTCTCTTTTACATTGCACTAAGGCTTCATGCTGTGGGAAAGATTCTTTTTCAACAGTTTACATTGAAACACTTCCTATGAGTCGTTCTACTCCCAGTACAGTGACTTAAAAGTTGAACATGATGACTTGCTGTGAATTATCTTGTTTTCAACGTTTTTATCAGCTTGACAATGGTGGAAAATATGTACTTGTTATTGTACAAATGATATAGGTGGCGACCATGCCTGTTGTGTCGTGTTAAGTTCACAGCAGATGACAGAAAAAATAATTCTTTTAAAATTACTTCGGATCTGCTCCAGCCAAAAATTACTTTGGGAAAGCTGATGTTTTTGTTCTTGTCAATGATTGTACTTCAATATTCTGAAGAAAAATTGAGCACAAAACTTCGTAATCCAGTTGTCTTTGTCTGTTGGTTTATGAAATTCTAACCTCACTTTGTTAATTTTACTGTAAGCTGTTGTATTATTAAAAAATTTTGTCCATGAGGTAATACAAAAGAGATGGTAATAACTTCTAATATTGTTATTAGATCTGCGTTAGTGGAAAGAAAATATGACAAGTGACTTGCAGCCAGCTGCTGTATTACAACTGCTCATAAACTTGATTGACGTGCTCAAAATTGGAGTTCGGATCAGATCAGAGTCTTTAAATTGTTTCTGGGCCCCTAGTCTCTCTGAGAATTGTCCTGAGCTAGTGCTGCACCCTCGCAGTAATTAATTTTGTGTCTAACAAGACCTAATTGTTAACATGACTAATAATAGCTGAGGTGTCTTGACTGCTCTGAAAAAGTTACTTACTTGGTTACTTGGTTGGAGAATCATTGCAGGCGGTACAATGCCGTAGCTGCTCCTCCTTCCTCTCCGGGATCCATGAAAGGGTTGACTTGGTCATTGTGCCGGTCATTAGCTAGTTGAATGTCACCACTACTATTTATCATATATATATGGATAGAATTACAAAAGAGGCCAACACTGAACCTGACACCCTAAATGAACAACTCTACGCTGATGACCAATGCCTGGCACACAAAGATGAACGAAGTCTCCAACACCACACTACCAGATTAAACGAAGAATGTAACAACTACGACATGAAGATCAACATTAAAAAAAACAACCCAGAGACAATGAAAGTAAGCAGAAAGCCAGAACCACTCAGTATACACATCAACAACAACAGTCTCAGAGAGGTCCAAGAATTTAAGTACCTTGAAGGTATATTTACAGAGGATGGACGACTGAACAGAGAAGTTGAAACACTAGTACAAAAGGCCAATAATATAATAATGTTAGTTACCAGCTTACTTCACTACTGAAACATCCTAACATCCCCATGACAACAAAACTCAAAATGAACAACACCATATTCATCCCAACACTCACCTATCAATGCTAAACATGGACCACAAACAAGACAGAGCAAAGAATTACATGTGAAATGCGATGCCTTAGAAAAGCTGTAAACAAGACCAGGCGAGACAAAATTACAAACTGTGTAATCCGAGAAATGGTGGGCACAAATGATGTCCTGCATCACATCCAACACCAATGAATCAAATGGTTCGGACATCTTCTACGATTACCAACACACCATCCTGCTCTACGAGCCTACATTTAAAAAAATTTGATGGCAACTCAATAAGGCAAGAGGGGGGCCGAGAAAGACCTGGATAGATGGGGTCAGGGAAACATTAACCACTCACGGCATCCCCCTGACCCAAGCTCTCCGACTGGCGACAGAGAGACGTCTCTTTCTTCCCACGACACCCAAAAGGGTATACAAGCGGCAGATAAAAGTTTAAAAAGTAAAGAATATTCTTCTTGCTTTTCCAAGCAGTTTTCTGTCTCTCCCTGATCCTCTGACTTTGAGGCACCAGCTTCCCTCAGTTTTTTCTGAAAGTGAGACAGAAGTGTTAAATTCTCTCTCTCTCTCTCTCTCTCTCTCTCTCTCTCTCTCTCTCTCTCTCTCTGTGGCGTCTCAAACGGTCAGCAATGCCGACGGCACCCAGAAACTCAACTCTTGCTTGGGAGTCCTTGAAAAGTGCTGAAAGTGGGTTACTGGAATGTCCCAGCAAACGTGTTCTGGCACGATAGTTAGCGGGACATCTCAGGAACATGTCGTTTCGTTCTCCTCCTTGCAGGCTCAACAGGACGGATCATGGTTGTCTGTCAGCTGGCGCAATTTTGAGGAGATATGTTCTCAGCTTGAGCGATTTTCCACCAGTTCTCATTTGGGAGAGAATCCGCTGGTCCTGTCGTCTGGGCAAGGCTTCAAGCTGGTATGGCAGCTGGACAAACAGCAGTTTGGGTTTCGCGTCTCTTTTCTACTTTGTGCGAGTCTACCGGTGGATGACTGCTTTCGCTGTTGAGAAATCGATTGGCCTGTCAATCTGGGAAAGCGTTGCTGCTTCTTTTGCGATACTGTCAACTTCCTCGTTCCCAGCCAGTCCAGCGTGGCCTGGAATCCGCTGTTTGTGGATGGAACATTCGGAGCATTGACAGAGGGTGTGCAGACACTGCCAGATTGAGCACGCCACCATTTCCGATTGGTTGGTAGGGCCGTATGAGAGGCGCATGACTGCTGACCTGGAATCAGTGTATACATGAATGCGTACACTGTTCGGAAGGCTGCCTGCTGTATGTAGTGCCACAAGCATGTCCAGCGCTGCGTCTAGAGCTACAAGCTCGGCCCTGTATCTGGAACAATTCCGGCCCACGGGTACACGGTGGTTGAGTTCAGTATCACCAGTCTTGATCAGTATTCCACTGCCTCCGTACTCGGTACCCTTCTTAGCTGAACCATCAGCCCAGACTTCTACATCGGGCAGGGGGAGCGATCGAATGGTAGCCTCTGCTGCTGCTGTCCTGACGGCTGGTTCATTAGCACGCTTGCAGTCGACAACAAGATCAGTGCTAAAGGTCACGTTGCTTGATGCAGCCTTCCACAGTTGTGTGGGGGGTAAAACAACCAGTTCCTCACGTGGGTACGTATCCAGTTCAGTTTCAGCTACGAGATTCTGGGCATGCTTTCTCCAGCTCGACGTGCCTGTCTGCGTGGGCACTGATTTTGTTGCGGAGGCTCTGCGTTAATTCGTCGCTGGCAAACGCATGGACTTTTCGAGTGAAATAGCGGTCAAGGCATCAGCTCTATGCCTTAGTGGTAAAATGTCTGCTTCAATGAGGAGGCTGTCCACACGAGTATCCTTTGAGCAGCCCGTGATGGTTTTTGCTGCTTCATTCTGCTTTCTTTCCAGTTTCTGCAGGTTGGTGGAGGGTTTAGCCAGAGGCATGTAGGCTGGGGCACTATAGTTGATAGCTGACAGACAAGTAGCATAATAAATTGGCTCTATGCATTCCCCTCAGGCACCCCAGGTGGTGCCTGTAAGGGTTTTCAATGGTCAAAGTCTGCTTGACCGTTTTAGCGCAAGGTTTTGGATGTGGGCGTTGGAGGATCAAGTACGGTCGAGTGTAGCCCCAAGTAAGGTGGGGCTGGAGTTGAAGGTGATGGGGGAGCCTATGAGCGAGAGTGCTGGTTTTCGCTAGGCCTCGTGAGTGCTGGTAGTGAAGAGGGAGCACTCTGTTTTCTCCGTACTGATCTCCATCTTGTTTTGCTTTTCCCACTGCTCAAGGGGGTTTGTGGCTGCTTGGACATCGTTTCCAGTCTGATTTATGTCTTCGTTGGTGGTGTATATAGTATAGTCGTCAGCATTGAGTCCCGTCTTCACGGTTTCAGGCAGGCCTGCTTCATCGATGAAGACGAGGAACAGTGTGGGGGACAGGACGCTGCCCTATGGGACTCCTTGCTCGAAACGGCGAAGCCTGCTTGTTGTGTTGCCGTGCTCCACACAGGAATATATGTCCCTGAGGACGCCTATCCATTGGGTGACGGAGTGGGAGTAGATTTCTCAAACATCTTCTCCATTAACATCGTGCGCCATGCCTCGTCGAAGGCATGTGAGAAGTCCACGAGGGCTAGGCTACTCCCTCTTAGCTTTGCCAGTGTGTTATATATGGAGAAGTTCGTTAGAGTATGAAGTAACTACAATTTGTTAAGTATTTAATATGGGCGTGCAAACAATACTGTGTGGAACCTCCAGTCTGTTTGGAGACTCATTGGAAAAACCGAATTAACAACGAACTCCACAGCGTCAAGCCCATACTGGGTCCTCGAAAATCTTCAGGCCTCTCCAGAAGAGACGAAGTCATTTTTACTCGATTACGCATCGGACACATAAATACCTCCTTCAGGGAGATGAGAAGCCGTTCTGCGACACATATTTTACCATTAGGCACATTCCAACAGAATGTCTAGCTCTAGACTTCGGAGAGACCCAAAGGAAATATTTTAGGTGTAAAAAATTGCAAGTTCTGTTTTCTGTCGTTGATCCCAATAGAATCCTAGATTTTAAAATGGCCTTTACGTCAAATTGTGAATAAAATTTTTATAAAATTGTTAACGTTATTTAAAAGCTATTTTAAAAACTAAGAACTTATTCACCACAAATTTTTAACATTCTAAAATCTGATTGTTCACCTGAGCCCAGCCGTGCAGTGAACTGTTGTGGATGCAACCGTTTTTCATGTAAAACTCCTACAAAAACAAACAAACTGTGTTGAACTATCTTGTAGTTCCAAGGACAATGTGTTGCAAGCCATCGAAATTGCAGCTATTTTTCCCCAGAAAGTATAACTGTAGTCTCCGCCTAAACGCACGGTGCTCGGGAGGGCTCCTTAGCGTGTGTTTATACGGAGCGTGCGTTTACATGCGTTTGCAAGGGGCGGAAGGGACGCAGTCATATCAATTCCTTATTACTCTAGTGAACTCCCTTGGGGGAAGGGGGTTATTTTGGCCGATAGGGGTTAAGAGTACAAAGGCGTTGAATGGGGGGCAAACTCAATGTAATGAATTTGCACTATACTATAAACGTAGGGAATAGAATACATGTATAGCCTTAGCAAGGGCGAAGCGTCTATATAATCCAATAATCACTGCTTCCCTTTCTAATTTTGAAACATTGTCGCTGTCAATTCACCTAACCCTAACATCTATCGTCCTTATCTCCCCCTCCTTCTCTTTTTGTTTGCTACTCTCTTGTAACACCTCTAATCTTCTGGCGCTCATATGACCTTATGCAGTTGCGAGCGCCCTAAAATCTCTACTAAAACAAAAAATGTACCTAATAAACGTAAACCTCATAAATTAAATCTAAAAAGACGTTCACAATCAACAATGAACAGTATGCTTAACATTCAAAAAGGTTTCACTGCCACAGAAATAGCCTGCTCACCCCTCTCGGGCCACTCCATAAGCAGTCACAAGCTTTGATTAAGATTAAAGAAAGCTTTAAAGTGAAGCTGGAAGAGTCTACCAATAGAGTTGAAGGGAACATGTCCATAGCAGCCAGAACTGTTTCATTGCCACAAATACCCTGTTCACCCATTTGGGCCCACAGTTATAAGCAGTCGCAAACTCTGATTATGTAAGCTAACTATT